CTGGTCTTAGACACCAGATAGAATAGCTATTTCTGCTACTTTCACAGACCCTAAGGCCAGAGGATTGAGGAGAGCCCCGGGTCCCTGACTGGCTGTCTCCTGGCTTCAATTCCCTTCTGAGCAGGGATGCTGAGACTGAGAATCCTCCGGGGATGGAGATGATGGGGAGAGGGACCCAAAGTCCCAGAATGGGAAGTCAAAGGGTCTTTACAGGTAGAAACTGCCCCAAATAGGGGACAAATAGACACTTGGGTTCCCCTTTCTCTTGCTGCCTATCCCGAGAAAGGGTGCCTGCTCTCACCTCCCAGTGCACCGACCAGAGGGTCTGGATGGCAGGGGAGCGCAGCCTCTCTGGGCTGGGGCAGTCAGTCGGCCTTCTTCCTAATGGGCCGTCCCAGAACCCCGAAGGCTCCCCTCGCAGGGCGGGCGCCCTGGTGGCGGGATGCTGGCCAGCGCGGCCTGACTGGTCTCCGGCCAATCCGCAGCTTTCAAACCCGGAGCTCACCCGGGTCCTTCCTGCCATTCTCGTTCCCTCTGGATTTCAAACCAGTCTGCCATTAACCTGTCTCAGGGCAACCAGTCTCCCTCAGACGCCCCCCACATTCAGTCAGCAGCTCTTCACTGAACGCCAGCTCCCAAAGAGGTGCGTGGGGACCCAGAAACACTAAGACACGAAGCTCAGCCAGCTGGGGGTGGTGAGTGTGAAGACACAGCTCAAGGTAGCCCCTGCCAGGTGCCAAATGAGTGGTACAGACAGGGCGTTCTCCAGGAACTCAGAGGAGGCTGGTGGGCAGGGGAGGCATTTTTGGAAGAGCAGAGAGATGACCTTTAAAGACGGGGAAGGCAGCTGGTAAGGTGTGAGCAAAGGCCCCTCAGTGGGAATGTGTGTGGTGTGTCTGGAATGTTGAGGTGACCAACGTGGATGGCTGGGGGCAAGCTTGGTGGAGTTAGCAGGGATCAGGAAGATGGCGCTTCCTATCAGGCTAAAGGGTGTGCATCTCACCTGTAAGCCATGGGGAGCTCCCCACTGGAAGACAGACCAGTCAGGAAACTTGGCTAAAATGCTTTGTTCTGTGTACAGACTTGGCTTGCTTCCTTTACAGCTCTACTTCCAATGGGGAAGGCACTAACGACGGGGGCCAGTTGAGCTCTTGGAAGGTGGGGCTAGTCGGAATTGAGATGCATTGTTAAGTGCAAAATCTACACTGGATTCTGAAGACTTCCCACACGATAAAAAACAACATAAAATATCTCAATCATTTTTTTTCTCTCGAGTACATGTTGAAATAACAACACTTTGGATATATCAACCTATGTAATATATAGTTTTAAAATTAAGTTCACCTGTGTCTTTCTACTTCTTTGAAGGCTAGCTACCAGAACATTTTAAGTTCCACACAGTAGCTCACCTTATCATTTTTTTGGACAAGGCTGGATTAGAGTCTTTACAATATACTCTTTTTGTGCAATTCCCTTTCTCCATAGTCATGACTGTCTTTCACTTCTTTTGAGATTTTATTGGTTGGTTGATTGATTGATTGATGAGAGGGTGAGCAGGGGAGGAGCAGAGGGAGAGGGACCAGCAGACTCCAGGCTGAGCAGGGAGACTCGAGGCTCGATCTCATGACCTGAGCCGAAACCAAGAGTCGGATGCTTAACCGACTGTGCCACCCAGGCGTCCTCTCTTCTTTTCCTTATCTCTCAACAGCTGTCCTTCCCTTCTTGCCCCTGTCCTTCTGTCACCTTGGCCTTCTTCTCTTTTGATGGTCAGGCGAGACAACAGGTGGTGGAGTGAGGGAGAAGGGGGAATCTAGTGCCAGCTTGCTCAGGCCACAGCTCTGGGATTCAGCAAAGCCAGAATTCAACAGGCAGAGAGGCCCTACTTATCCAGAATGTTGGCAGAAATTACCCTTCTAGAAAATTCTTTTCTGGCTCCTTTGAGGGCAGTTAGAAATTCTTTTTATTTTCATTTGGGTTTGTAAATAGTTACTTTTAAAAACCTATCAATGGGGGCGCCTGGGTGGCTCAGTTGGTTGGGCGACTGCCTTCGGCTCAGGTCATGATCCTGGAGTCACAGGATCGAGTCCCGCATCGGGCTCTCTGCTCGGCGGGGAGTCTGCTTCTCCCTCTGACCCTCCCCCCTCTCATGTGCTCGCTCTCTCTCATTCTCTCTCTCTCAAATAAATAAATAAAATCTTTAAAAAAAAAAAAAAACCTATCAATGACATGCACATCATTTACACAGTTGAAAGGTACCAGTCTATAAGATACATGTAGTAATGTGTCTGCCCCTTGCCCTCCCCTACAGCCCAAAGCTCAACACACGCCACTCTTCTTCAGGTATTTACTTCCTGAAATACATAAATTACTAAGTAAATTTCTAAATAAATTCTTATAATGCTATTTGTTGATTTTTCAATTTTGACATTATATATTTTCTCCTTATTAAGAGAGAAATGTCCTCTTCTGTTCTAATACATTTTATTAACATTTTATTATTCATATGTAAATATTGTTCCCTGCTGAACGAAGTAGTGCGTAACAATTGCACTTTCTTGCACAACTGTTTCTTTTCTTGGAGGTGATAACTGCTGATTTTATCTTATTTTTTGGCTACCTTGCTTTTTATGACATTTGTACAAGTTCCTACCAAATTTCTCTATCATATTGCAAAATTCCTTCAAATACTATGTTTATGTGGCTAAATCTCTTGGTAACCCTATCATTTCCATCCCGGCCTCCAAGATACCCTCTTGGAGCACCTGCCCTCCTGCTCCCCTCTGACATGGTGGCTGGAGCCCCTGCACAGCTTGGGGGAGCCCATCTCTCTCAGGTGCTACCCCTATTTTTTGCTCCTCTTTCTTGGTTTGTGCCTGAGAAAGGGTGCCAAGAAGGTTGATCTTTTTTGAGACTCTGCATGCTTGAAAATGTCTTTATTTTATCCTCACACTTGAGCAATCAATAGTTCAGCTGGGCATAGAGTCCTAGATTGAGATCTTTTTTCCCCCAGTATCCTGAAGGCAATTGCTCTGCTATTTTCATGCTTCCAACGTTGCTCTTGAAAATTCTCATGTTATTTTGCTCTCCTGACCCTTTGTGTGGCCCGTTTGTTTTCTCTCTGGAAGGTGTTAGAATCATCTTTGCTCCTACAATTCGGACATCTCACAGGTGCTTCAGTGAGGGGTTCTTCTCCCATCGATTTTGCGGGGCACTCAGGGAGACTTTTCTATCGAGAAACTTAGACCATCAGTTCTGGGAACTACTTTTTGCAATATTTTTCATAATCTCCTCTCCTTTGTTTCCTCCACCTTTTCTCTCTCACTAGTTATGTATGGAAACTTCCGACCCATCCTTCTATGTTTATATCTGTTTTCTCCTACTTATTGTTTCTTGGTTTTCTCGTTCTCCTTCCTGGGCAAGTTCCCCAGCTTTATCTTCTGACCCTCCTGTTTTTAATTTCCAAGAGCTCTCTCTCTTGTTTTCTCTTAGCTCCTTTTAAAAAAAGCTTCTTGTTTCATGGATCCAACATTTTTATTTCTCGGAAGATATTAATTATAGTGTTTTGAAGTTTATTTTTTCCTGGTCTTTGCATTACTTCTGTTCCTTGGAGTTCCTTTTCTTTTCTCCTTTTTAACATTTGATACATTCTCTCTGTTTTCACCCTGTAATCTTCCTCAGAGACTGGTTACCCTTGGGCTATCTGTTCATAGTGAAGAGTAGGTCACTAAAAGCTGTCCAGAAACCATGTGTGTGAGTGTGTGTGTGTGTGTGTGTACTTTTTAATTTATGGGCTTCATTACAGAGCGGCGAATTGGGGAACCAACCATTTTACTGGGGACTCCCAACTAGAAGTTTCTGTAGGGCTCTTTCCGGGACCAGTTTCCAGCATGCTGGGTGACAGTGCTTTCAGAACCAAGTGGCAGAAGGGGGTGTCCCCTGCTTGAGCATGTGCCGCACACCTGCCCTCCTCTATTGGAGCCTGTCTGGCCCAGTTTCGGTACAAAGTACCAGTGTGAGGGAGAGGTAGGTAGTCAGTGAGTCCATGGGAAAGGGGAGAAGCTCCAGGCAGAATTGGTCCTCATACGGACTTGTGATCGGTGCCCTCTCTCCTGCCTTCCAAAGCAGCCAGCACCTCCAATTCCTGACCTTTCCAGCACGGTGACAAGATCTATCCACTTCTGGTTGACCGCCCCTTTGCTGGCGCTGGATTTCTGGTTTCTCAGTTCTGCTAATTCCTCCATCTGCTTTCCATCTTCCAGAAATCTGTTGACATCTGTTGCCTGCACGTGTCACTTCTACTGTTCTCTCCGTCCTTATCTATTTATCTTCTCTTTATTCCTTTGCTCTCATTTCAGTGGGGGTTGGAAGGAGCCGATATGTGTTGAACCTGCCACATGTAGCAGGAAGTCCCTGTAAACATTTCTGAAGTTTGCCAAGTCCTGTCGCCTTCCTTAGTAAGGGACCCCTCCTGCCGAGAGCTGGATCATTACTCATGGAGAATCTGTAAAGGCTTTCCTGTCGTCAAGGTCAATTTTACTTAGAAAAGTCGAGGAGACTAGATTAAACGTACCCTGAACCCAGCTTATTCCTGGAAATGGTTGCTTTTAAATGAATTATAACATTGTAACAAATTATTTAATTTTTATTTAAATAAAAATGACTTTTTTGAATTAGTCTTTTTCACAAAACTGAATGGAAAACAACGTCTGGTTGTTTTGTCTCTGGAAATTAGGGCTCCCTATGGGCTGGGTCCTCGGCGAGGCTGGACTGCCTTTTCTCTAGGTGCCATCTACTGAAACAGGCTGTCGGGCCCATGAGGTTGCATGGGAGGAGCCTTACAACTCCTCTAACAAGTGTGTTGGTTTTTTAAAGGGTGCTGGCTTCTCTGTTCACCGCCTGGAACACTCCCTGCCCCCCCACCCCCCCGCCCCCCCGCCAGCACACACAGCCCAGAGCTTCTACCTGGCAGCGGGGAGGATGACCATGTGGACCCCAAAGCGATGACATCGCCGCGTTCCAAGGAAGGCGACCAGCGGCACCAGCTGCAGGGCGTCCCCTCGGCAGGGGAGGGGCGCAGGGCGGGTCCTCACGCAGTCTTCTCTGTCCTTGCCTCTCCAGGTGCCCCTTTTCAAAGGTCTCAGCATCCTCACGCTACCTCCTGCCGCCACTTCCACCTGGGCCCCCCGCAGGCGCAGCAGCTGGCGCCCGACTTCCCCCTGGCGCACCCCGTGCAGTCGCAGCCGGGCCTCAGCGCCCACATGGCCCCGGCCCACCAGCACAGCGGCACCCTGCACCAGTCGCTGACTCCGCTGCCCACCCTGCAGTTCCAGGACGTCACCGGTCCCTCCTTCCTACCTCAGGCCCTGCACCAGCAATACCTCCTGCAGCAGCAGCTCCTGGAAGCCCAGCACCGCAGGCTCGTCTCGCACCCGAGGTGGGCGGGGCCGGGGCGGGGCCGGGGGCGGGGCCTCGGGGGACACCTGGCTTCCGGCTGCCACCGCCCCGCCGGCCCCACTACGCGGGGTTCCGTGCGGGAGGCAGCTTTTGCTCCAGGTAGAGGCATTCGTTTCAGGCGGTGAACTCCACCTGGACCCGACACGGGTTCCCTCGGTAGCCAGTGTGTGTCCTTGTCACATCACCCAGGGGCAGGAACAGGGCCCGGGTGACTGGTGGTTTATCGTGCTCACGGTGGACTTCTGCTGCACGGTGGGGGAGATGGGATCCCTCATGTCCCCTGGAGCTTCATGATCACCTGATTCTAACACCCAAGTTCCCTAAGGGACACCTGAGGACACAGCTGCTTCAGCCCCGCCGTCAGAGAGCACATGGTCTGGTTGGGGGGACCAGCTATGAAACAAATGGAGAGTAAAATTAGGTAATACTGGACAAGTCACTTCACCTCTTTGAGCCTCAACTGTTAAGAGAAGGAGTTTGATTACATCAGTGGTTCTCAAACATTTTTGCCTTAGGACCCTTCACACTCTTCAAAATTATTGAGGATTACACAAACTTCTGTTTATGTGGGTTATGACTATTGATACTTACCATGTTGGAAATTAAAACTGAGAAATTTAAACCATATTTATTAATTCATTTAAAAATACAAGAACAAACTCATATGTTAACACCAATTATATCTTTTTTGAAAAGAAGGTATATATACATGTAGTGAGAAGAGGGGCTTTTTTTTTTTTTTACATATTTGCAAATCTTTAATTCCTGGCTTAATAGAAGACAGCTGTGTTCTCATGTCTGCTTCTACATTCAATCTGTTGCAGAATCACATGTAGTTTCTAGAGAACTTCACCATTCACCTGTGAGAGAATGAGAGTAGAAAAGCAAGTAACATCCTCGTATTATTATGAAAATAGGGGTTGGGGTGCCCGGGACAGAGGTGAATGTTGTAGCGGGTCAGAGGGAGGAGAGGTCACCATGCCTGCAGTGTGCAGGGAGGACTTCCTGTAGGCGGTAGGTGGCTTTGACCAGGGCCATGAAAGCTGGCAAGAGTGTGGAGAAGGATGGAGAGACCAGAGGGGTGCACCGGTGTGGGAAAGCCTACAGGAAGCACAGCTACGTGCCCTGGAGACAGCGCAGGAAATTCCGAGGGAAAAAGTAGAAGGAGCAGAGGAGGCAAGGACGTTTGGGGGGGGCAGTGGCCGGCAGACACACCGAGGGAGAGGCCTCCGTGTAGTGGGCCGCCCCGGACAGCAGGAATGTTTGAGTTACCGGCTGCTGCCGGCTGGGAAGCGTCCTTGGAATTTGGGAAGAGGGGCAAAGCCCACTGCTCTGTAGGCTGTAGGCTCAGGCTGGCCAGGGCTGTTCAGTGCTTCTGGGGGCTGGGCTGGCCCGGGGCAGCTCTGACACCATGGGCCCTCCTTCCCTTCCCGTGCAGGCGGAGTCAGGAGCGCGTGTCTGTCCATCCCCACCGCCTCCACCCCAGCTTCGACTTCGGCCACCAACTCCAGACGCCTCAGCCCAGGTATTTGGCTGAGGGCACTGACTGGTGAGTCTTTGGGGTCCCTAAGCAAGGGAGGGGAGGGGAGGAGAGGTTTGCCTGAGCCACGGAGTTCCTGTTTCCTTCACTTTGAATGGCACGGGAGACCTCATCTTCAAGCTCCAGCCATTGGCTGTGCCCCTAGTCACCCTCAAAGCCACATGGCCCCCACTGGGCCTGGTTTCAGCAGTTAGCTCAGGATGTGGCTGGATAGCATCATGTGCCCAGCTTGGGGCTCTGTGCTCATGATCCTGCAGGGGAGGAGGAGACAGGGATACAAAACATTTCCCAAGGTCAAGGAGGGCTGGAAACCAGTGGTTTCTGGGAGGCAGGCAGAAAGGAGAGTCTCAGGAACTAGCTAGTCAGGGAAGGCTTCCTGGAGGGGGTGGACCTTGAGGGATCCACAGAGAAGAGCCAGGGCAACCCAGCAAGACCAAACACAGGCTTGTGGAGGCAGAGCTCGCAAAGTTGGAGGTAAGGACTGTGGACAGAAGCTGGGGAGAGAGATTGAGGACTTAGCCGTGATATCTTTGTAGGCACCAAGTCCTTGTCTTCCAAAATCTCTTGCACTTGGGACAGTAGGACAGAGGTCTTTGTTGCCCCGCAATGCAGCGTTGCGTGGTTGGGAGTCCTCCGTCACACCTGACTCTCTGGTTCTAGCTCAGCCCTTGGCTGACCTACACTAGGGTGCGAGGCGTACGCCCAAACACTTGAAAAAGACGTGCAGTTCCCTGAGGCATTTAGGTTTAGAGGGCATCACGCCTGCAATTATTTTTAAATAGTTCGGGGAAAAAGCCCATGGAGAAGTGTGTGTGTAGCTGTTGTAAGTATACATGCAGAGAGAGAAAAGGAACTACAAATGTAGCCAAATAGTAAAACATTAACACATGGGGAATCCGGGTGAAGGGTATCCAGGAATTCTTCCGGCTGGTCTTGCAACTTTGGGGTCAACAATGTTATTGTTGTTTTAGAGAATGTAAAAACAAACAAACAAAAAACTTCTGTGGAGAGGCAGGGACTATATTTCAAAAAAAACCAGACAGGCACTGTGTCATTTTTCAGCCGTTTGAACCGGAATGGTTCAAAAATTCTGGATGACTGCATGCGAAAGGTGCTCTAGGGGCAGGAAATAGTTGTTCTCTAATGTGTTCCCATGTCTCCCAGCCCTCTGCCAGTTCTGGGGGACGCTCTGTGAAATTGAACACTTCCTCAAAAGAGAGGCTACAGGGCGGCCAACTTCAGCCCAGGCTTTTTCTAATTAGCAGATTCAAATCAGGAAGATTTAATTGCAGTTTGGATTGAATTCTGTCCCTCAGCAGTCAAGTCCATCCAATTTGATTCAATTCAGCACACACTGAGTGATTTGAAAAAACATAGGGCAGCCAGCGTGGTGAGTGGGACCGGGGAGGTGACATGGGTGAGTGGTGAGCATTGTCCTGGGGCGGTGTCAGGAGCCGCGCAGGTGTGAGCCTCCCCAGCTCGCTCACCAGCTCGCTCGCTTTCGCCAGATCCCCCGTCCTTCTGCACTTCACTCCCTCTGCCCTCCTGACCTCTGTCTGCTTGAGAAACACAAAGACTGAAGCCCTGAGAGGCCTCTGCAGGGGCCGAGGGAGGCTCCTGCCCTGAGTCACACCTGGGTTCACCCTGGGCTTTTTCTGCCGGGCCTGTCCCCCTTACTTTAGGATATTTGAACCCTATTCAGGCAGCTTCTCTTACCTGGGCAGCTTGGCCTGGGAGTGCGTGGGAGCAGCAGGCCTTGCAGGAACAATCCCCAATATGCCCCCTCTTTGGTCCGTACCTCATAACTCGACCCTGACCTTGAGCTCCGATGTCTCTGTCATCATGCTCCTTCTCTGACTCATTCCCAGCTTCATACTTCCCGCTGTGATGCCCGGGTTCTCATCGCACCCCGCCCCACTACCCAGCCCTAGCCCTGGCCGGGCAGAGCCCCCCAGAGACACCTGGGACCTGTGAGACGGCAGGTGGAGGACAAGAGCCTCCTACTGTCCTTCCCCTGCAGGCAGCTCTGCCTGGGCCAAGCCTCCAGATTCACCTGCGAGAAGGTGCCAGCACTTAAGCTCCCCGGGAAGAATGTCAGGATCTATGTAGCAACCAGACCACAGCACGCTTCAAGGTCACTGATAGTGAGTGGAAAATAAAGTTTAGCTTGATATTTAGACACAACTGACAAAACACTGCATTGAGACAATGCCCCCCCCATATATACACACACACACACACACACACACACTCATATATATATACACACATCACATCTGGAAGCAGAAATTCCTTAAATGCCCTTCGTATCTTTTCCCTTCGTTTGGATGTATTTGTTGAAGTGATGTGGGCTGCTTTTTCTACTTTCCCTCTCTCTGGATCGTGCTGGTTGCGCTCTGCTGTGTCCCTTCAGATGTCCCTCAGTTTTTCTCTGTTCCCGGCGCACTGGGGCTTAGATCAAGGGTTGAGCAGATTCACGTTCAACTCTTACTATTTCTTGGCAAAAATACTGAAAAGGGGTGTGTTCTCCCAGCAGAAAGCTGGTTGTCTGTCCTTCTGTGGTGTTAGCAGCAATTGGTGATCTTCACCAGGAGCCTTTATTTCTTTTGGGGATGCAGGGAGGTGACAGATAACTCCATCATCCCTTACTCATTTATTAGCTAGAGAGCTTTTATAAAGAGAAATTTCCCTTCGTCAACCATTTGGCTACCCTCAGTCCAGTTAACAGAGGAAAGGCAAGATCAGCGTTGGATTCTTCCCCTTTCTTTACTAGTTTTCAAAATGAAGCTTTGGTTCCCTGACATCCTTCGAAGGGACCGGTTTTCTTTGTATAATTTAGTATAGTTTCCCTCTCATGGATCCGAACCTGTTCGAGGAGTTTCCATCTGCTGGAATTATGCTCGCTGACACGCCCCTTGTCCAAGACCTGCCCAGTGGGAAGCTCTTCAGGATGGTTCCTGAATCCTCTTGACATGACCTGGACAACTTCCTTGCTTTCAGTTGTAACAAGAGGTTTCAAATCATTTTGCACATTTTCTGCCCCAGACCTGAAATTGGCCATTTCCCAAGGAGCCCTGGTTACTCTTCAGTTGCAAAGACTGGTTAATTTTTTACGTGAAATGAGTTTTCCTGTCCTTGTAGGAGTGGAGGGCAGGGGTCCAGGATAGCTTTCCCAGCCTCACGGCTACCGCGGTCCCTCTTCGTGTTTTTTCTCACAGTGGCACAAATATGACCTCCGCTCCCGCCTCTGCCTGACTTGTCTTCCCTTTGCTCCATACCCCTGACCGGCTCTATTTGGATCCTTCCAGTGTTTCTCTCAGGGATGAGCTTTGTCTTGGGAGGGAGCTTCGGTGCGCTCATTTTAACAAGTTTTATGAGGTGTAGACTGTTCCAGTCCCTTCAGCCCTGGCAGACCCCTTTCCTCCTCTAAGTCTCTGTTTTCTTCACTTTAAAAAGAGGGGAAGGGGCAGGTGATGCTGATCCCTTGCAGCTCTGGTGGTCTGTGACTCTGAGTCTTGTCCCTGGGCTCGAGGTCCGACGTCCCTCCCGTAAGCAGATGGCTGAAGCCCACCGCCCTGTGGTTCACTGTGGCCTTGTCCCCGCAGGGATCTCAGTGTGGACGCCGGCTTGAGCCCGGCCCAGTTCCAGGTGCGGCCCATCCCTCAGCACTATCAGCATTACCTAGCGACTCCTCGAATGCACCACTTTCCCAGAAACTCCTCCTCCACGCAGATGGTGAGTGCAAGGGCTCTGCCAGGAAACCGACCCCCTTGCTGCCTGGGGGTGCCGGCCGTGGACTAAGGCCAGCGGCTCCCCCGTGTCCTGCTGTCATGCTCTCCTCCCCTCCCCGCTCCTGTTCCCACTCTGGCTTGATGGCATCTGCCGGACGAAAGCCAGTACTGTGGGTGGGACTGAGTGGGGCACTGGAGGAGGGAAAGGGGCGCACGGTGGGCTGTGGTTTGTGGGGAAGAGGCTCGGGGCTAAGAACAGCCAGGGTAGTCCCTCATTATCACCTCATTTAGCTAATTTCTTGGGGTCAGCGCCTCCCTGGGCTTTGATTTTACTAATCTATGAGACGGCATGAAGATGCCTGCCTCGTCCTTCTCACGGGGCTGGCAAGGGCCTGCGTTAGGGACAAAGGAGCCCACACAGGAGCCCCCTCGGGCCGGGCCTGCTGATCCAGTTCTGCTTTGTGCAAGGGGCCGGACTTTGTCACTACAGGGCTCTGCGATTGCAGAAAGGGGCCGGCTGGCTCTGGGGGCCTCCCCAGGCCCTGGGGCTGCCAGTCCCTGGGGCAGAGGTGAAGACAGGCCATTAAAGCAGCAACGGACTGATTGTGAAATCTTATCTCCAGACAGCTCGTTCGTGTTGCTGCCCTACAACACATTTCCCCCCTTCCAGCCCTTGTCTCTGCCGTTAACCACCCCGTTCCTCAGTATCCTTGTTTGCGCAATGAGAGGTTTGGATGAGTGATCGCTGAAGCCCTCGTCCGCTCTGAGGTTCTCGGGTTGGTGTCAGGAAGCACCATCTCCTAAGAGAAAAAGCTAACATTTATTGAGCGCTTAGTGCATGGCAGGCCCTGTTCTAACCACTTTATGCGAATTACCAAGAACCTTACATGAAAGGGTTTTTATCCCTGTTTTTCAGATGGGCAAACTGAGGCATAGAGAGGTTAAGTAACAGAGCTCAGGAGAGGAGCTATGATGGAAATCTGGCCCCTCCATCTCATAGCCGGGGCCAGGATGAGGTGAGCAGGGCAGGGCCTTGCCAGGGCAGGGTCAGATCCTGTCTTTATTTAAAATTTTGGTATTTTGTTCATTATGGCCTTTTCGCATTAATTTTGATTTTTTAAAAAGAAATATCGCCTTAAAATATTATTTACTTTGATTACTGAGTCTATTGTGCTGAAATCTGTGCTCTCGTTTGTCCCGCCTGGACAGGACGTGGCCCACGCTCTTCACGGTCTAAGGCACCGCCTGAGGCCGTATTGAGCGGAGGGGAAGAGGTGGCCCACGGCCACCCAACTGCCTTGTTTGAAGTCACCGTCTGCCACTTCGTTGCATAACTTAGGCACTCACTTTATCTATTTGTGTCTCATTTCCCCTACCAGTAAAATGGGGGTAGTAATTGCACCCACATCCTAGATCCGATGAGATCAATTAGTCACGTGAAGTACTTAGACAGAGCCTGCCTTGAAATAAATGCCCAATCAGCTTAGTCATCTTACTAATTATATTAGTATACAGTGTATATATTTACTAATCTATATTTACTTTATTGATTTTGTTATTTTTTCTGGGGCCGGTCTGGCACAGGCTTGGTTCTTGACGAGGAGAGGAGGGTATCGGAGCAGGAAAGAGAGCACTTTTGCCTGAAGAATCTCGGGGGTGTGCAGATTGGCCGGTTATGGGGGGAGCAGTCAGATGCTGGGCTCGTGCAGCCTGGAATCCTATCCAAGGCATTTTCTCCCCAACAGGTCGTCCATGAAATCCGAAACTACCCTTACCCTCAGCTTCACTTCCTTGCTCTCCAGGGACTGAACCCCAGCAGACACACCTCCGCAGTGAGGGAGAGCTACGAGGTACGCCCGCCCCTCTGTCTGGCTCCAGCTGGCTTGGTGGAGACACCATTCTTGTTCATTGTTCCCTCCTCCTTTCTCCTGCTGGTGGCTGGGGCATTGGAGGTTGCGGGGAGCTTCGGGGTTGAGAGTAAGAGAGAGAAGAAGAGCGAGTGAGTAAAGATGTGGGGGTCTTTCAGTACCAGACAAGTTCTTCCCAATGGCTATGTGAATGCTTCTTTTTTTTTTTTAAAGATTTTATTTATTTGACAGAGAGATAGAGAGAGAGAACAAATAGGCAGAGAGGCAGGCAGAAGGAGAGGGAGAAGCAGACTCCCCGCTGAGCAGGGAGCCCAATGCAGGACTAGATCCCAGGATTCCGGGATCACGACCTGAGCCGAAGGCAGCCGCTTAACCGACTGAGCCACCCAGGCGTCCCTATGTGAATGCTTCTTGCTAACATCTTTCAGTGCCCTTCCTCCATATTGTGTGCACACATGTGTGTGTGCGTGTGTGTGTGTGTGTGTGTGTGAGTTAGCGCATGCAGAGTGCACATGTCCACATTTTTCTCTTTGCAGGAGCTGCTGCAGCTTGAGGACAGGTTGGGAAATGTGACTCGGGGAGCTGTACAGAACACCATTGAGAGGTTCACCTTCCCCCACAAATACAAGAAGGTGAGTCTGCTAGCAGGTCAGCCTGCGTAGTTGAGGGGTTGTGGTTAGGTGCTCTGAAGCTGTGATGTTTTCCCAGGGTCTTTTCCCCTGTCTCCATCAGGTGTGACCAGGAGGGGAGACGGGGTTGCCTCTCATCATAAAGGAGGAAGGCTGTGTGTGTGTGTGCATGTGGATTTGTGAGTGGGTGTGTTAGGTAGGCATACAGGTGCATGAATGCTCGTATCTGAATGAGGTGGACAAAGGGAGCACCTGCAGTGAAGATAAGTGAAACTAAGATACGCCTTAGAAAAGAAGTCCAAGTCCAATCCCACATGGGGACAAATGGGCAACTAAGGTCAGAGCAAGAGTTTCCAATCCTCATTGAGCATCAGGATCACCTGGGGAGCTTTTAAACCCACATGTTCAAGGCTCCACCCCAAGCCTATAGAAGTAGATTCTCCACGGTTATGGCTCAGGAATGTAGAGTAGGCTTAGAACCCAGGAATCTGATTTTTAAAGCATTTTTAAATTCAAATAAATAAAAAATTTGGAAGCAACCACTGTGTCATTCAATAAGCGAGTGGATAAACAACAGTGGTGCATCCATACAATGGAATATTATTTCATGATTTTTAAAAAATGAGCCATGGAAAGAGATTAGGGAAACTTAAATGCATATTACTAAGTGAAAGAAGCCAATCCTAAAAGGCTGCATACTGTGTGATTCCAACAATATGGCGTTCTGGAAAAGGCAAAACTAGATTGTTCAAAGGTCCCTTGTTGCCAGGGGCTTTGGGGGGAGGGATAGACAGTGAATGGGTGGATCACAGGCTATTTTTAGTGAAATTATTGCACGCCACTGTAATGGTGGACACATGACATTGTGCATTTGTCAAAACCCATAGAACACTACAACAGGAAGAATGAACCTTAATATAAAGTCTTCAGTTAATAACAGTGTATCACTATCAGTCCATCAGTTGTAACAAATGTACCACACTAATGCAAGATGTTAATAACAGGTCAAACTGTGTGTGTGTGTGTGTGTGTGTGTTGAGTGGGGGAGGGATGTGTGAATGGGCTGTATTCTCTGCTCAATTTCAATGTAAGCTAAAATTGCTCTACAAAATAAATTCTGCAATGAAAACAAACACTTCTTTTAAAATTTAAGAATTAAAAGCTTGACAAGTGCTGAGAGACTTGGCGTGGGAAAATGCTCATTGAAGTCAAGCCAGAGCCCATCTTCACTGCCCCATGAGGCACTGGGGTACAATGGTTGTGAGCGCTAAGTGTTGGAGTCAGATAGGGCCAGTTTTTAATTTCATTGTTACTACTGTCTTTGTTTGGGCTGCAATAACAAAGTACCAACAGCTGGGTGGCTTAAACTGCAGACATTTATTTCTCACAGTTCTCAAGGCTGCGAAGTCCAAGATCAAGGCACTGGGTTCTCTTCCTGACTTGTAGATGGCTCCATTCTTAATGTCTCTTCGGATGGCAAAGAGAGGAAGCTCTGGTGTCTTTTCCTCTTCTTATAGGGGCGCTAATCCCATCATAGGGTCTCTGTCTTCATGACGTCACCTAAACCTAATTAGCTTCCAGAGGCCCCATCTCCTAATACCATCACATTGGGGGATAGGGCGTCAACATATGAATTTGGGGGTGGGAGGCACAAACATTCAGTCCATAACCACCACTGATAGCTGTGTAGCCCTGGACAACTTACTTGGCTTTTCTGGCCCCTCCCCTGTCCTTTTTAATGTAAAATAGGAATGATGTGTTAGTAGCAACCATAAGGGGTTCTCCAGGGATTCAGTGGGACAATGCATATAACAGCTTAGCATAGTGCCTAGTATCTGGTGAGTGATCAGGAGGTTGAACTGCTCTCACCTTGATATAGGGCTCACTTGTTCAAGGCTTGCAGAGATGCCAATGATATCAATTAAAAGACCATGAATCTTGGTCTGTGCAGATCCTCATAGAGGCATTGGATTCATCCATAAGTTATTTCAACCAACATTTATTATCTACAATGTGTCCTATATGGGTAGGGTGTTCATACAAGAAATGGCAGTATTTCAGTAACTAAGGGTATCATCAGCAAATGGAAGATGATCATTCTCTGCAGGGCAAGTTTAGGCTGTTGGAGGAGAACATGGAAAGGGATGAGTGGCGTGTTCAAGAGTCCAGAGCAGCTTCCACTCCTCTGACCAGGGCGTACTCACTCTTGCCAGGGCCACGCACTGCACCTGCCGCCAGGGCCACACTGCACCTGCCCTCAGGGCCACAGGCCTTGAGGAGACAGAGAGAGAACACATAAGGAGGATGGAAAGGGAACACAAACCAAGCCAATGACATAAAGAGTTGAGGTAAAGATGATGAGAATGAAGGGAGAATTAGGAGAATAAAATATTATAAGAAAGAAATAAGAAATAAAATATGAAATGATAAAGTTTAGGACCCAAATAAAATGTGAAAAAAACTTTAAAAATTTAAACTGAGAGTCAAATAATAAAAAACAAAAAAATATTTTACAGTAGTGATGATAAAAATAAAAAATATAAAAGAAATATAGTCATGCAGACAAATATAAAAAATAAGAATTAGGCAAAGATATGAAAACAACATACAGAATGAAAACCAGTAACACTGACGTGAGAGGGAATATGAATGAGGGAAAAAAGGTACAGGCAGAAGGGGTAAAATAAATATGAAATACATGCTGAGAAGAGTTACTATTAAACTAAAAGTTACACAGATAATGAGAAGATAAAACCTAGAAGACCTAAAAGATTAAAAATACAAAAGAGGAAATAGGGTAAGATTTGAAAAGAGACAATAATTAAAGAAATATAGATTAGGGACGCCTGGGTGGCACAGTTGGTTTAAGCATCCAACTCGTGGTTTTGGCTCAGGTTGTGATCTCATGGTCATGAGATCAAGCCCCGAGTTGGGTTCCATGCTCACAGTAGAGTGTCCTTAAGACTTTCTCTCCCTCTCTCTCTGCCCCTCCCCCTGCTTTCTCTCTTTCTCTCAAATAAATAAATCTTAAGAAAAAAAGAAATACAGATTAGACATAGTGGAATAAGGTAAGACTGTTTGAAATCATTAACTATAAAAAGGAAATCATGAATAATGGTGGGAAAATAACAATAGAAAATAGGCAAGTAGTGAGTCTTATTAGTATCTTTTATAGAACATCCCATTTCTCAAAGGACCAACTGAAAGAAGGCCACTCTTCCCAGAAACACAGCTGGGCTGTTAGGCAGGCAGACCATCATGACTCCATTCAGACTCAATAGCCATGATGATTATATGGGACTATGGATGTAATTCTGATTTTCTGGGTTCTAGACGATGGAACCCTTATTGCAGTGGCCATCACGGGGTTTGCAGTTGGAGTATATAGGGCCCAGGGAGGCTGAGAGCAGAAAGCATAGATTTTCTTCTATGTTCCAGTAAGGCTCTAATACTCCAGGGACCACATCAGACTAAGGAACTCCAGAGCTTAGGACCAGGGACTTGAGTGGGGAAACCTAGCATCTAGGCCTGTCCCCAAGGTCATAGTTATTCTGTGGGTGGTGTTTTGTTTTGTTTTGTCTTGTTTAAATCTTGTGAGTCTTCAGATTTTTCTCTTGGCAAAATGACCTTTAAGTCTGCTTCTCTCTGGAGAGGGGACAGAAGGGCTAGTTTTCTTCCCATGGATATTATCAGACTGTTTCACTGCACAGCTTGGAGATGGGGACAAGAAAGCTGGGCTGATTTCATTCACTGATTAGATTCCTTCCTCCCCAGAATATTTTTAAAGCACTGATGATGTGCCTTCTGCTTGGCCAAGCGTGGAACACTACCCAAGGAAGGGTGAACCATGGTCCACACAATCTAAGAACTTGGAACTTTCTACATAGCAGTTAATGATTTTCAAATAATTAGCATAGAATTTAAAACAGTTCAACTAAAGTCAACAAATATAAACAAAGTGACTACATGATGTCCAAACTCATTTTGGAGCTAGTGCCTATCTTAAAGGAATTTTCTGGATAGGAAGAAATCCAACAATATAAAGTAACAGTATGGTACAAATTATAGGAGTTGAGGAATTTTGCCTTCATCTAGTAATGAATGAATAAATGAGTAGACCTTAGTAGAGTGAAAGAAATAAAGGAAGAAGGGAAGGAGAGAAGGAAAGAAGGAAGGAAGGAAAAAAGGAAGGAAGGAAGACAGGAAGACAGGATGGATGGATGGATGGATGGATGGATGGATTGATGGATGGAAGGATAGATGGGTAGATAGAAGGTTGGGTGGTTGGAGGCTGAGTGGGTAAATGGATGGGTGGGTGAGTGGATGGATGGGCGGTTGGGTAGATGTATGCCTGCATGTATGTATGGATGGATATATGGATGGATGGGTGGAAGGGTAGATGGGCAGATGGGTGAGACGTTGGGTGGATGGAGGGCAAGTGAGTGAGTGGATGGGTGGAAGAGTAAATGGATGAGTGGATGAATGGATGAAGCATGCTGGATATGAATGTGGAGGCAGAAGCCTGGAGGCAGGGATCTAGGTAGGAAAGGACATCAGGAGGAGTGGACAGTATGAGGGGAATAGGAAGGAGAAGCAGTTTATGCACAAGCCATAGTTTTGCCATGGACTGATTCATTAGACACACAATTCCTTTCCAAACTCTATACCCTTCAGCCAGGATAACCACCACTGTATCCTGAGGCAAGGAGGAAGAGTTGGGGAGGAGGCTGGGAAAAGGGCCTGGGGTGAGCATACAAGTCTGGGGATTCCTTAAGAATTTAGAAAGACACTGACTCACAGATAAGGGAGGGGGAGGCTGTGGTTGAAAGATAGTGGTCACCAGGTGAGCTGATCCAGGTAACCAATGCTTCTCCTCTGCTTCTCATAGCGAAGACCCCAGGATGGCAAGGGTAAGAAGGAAGAGGGGGAGGAATCAGACACAGATGAGAAATGCACAATTTGTCTGTCTATGCTGGAAGATGGAGAAGATGTGAGGTAGGAGACCCACCTCTTCTGTTTCCCCTCCCTTCCCCCCACAGGTGTTAGTAATCAGTCATGTGCTGTATGTCAGGGAGACGGTGCTTGTTCTCTTGTGTGTGTGTGTACTAAGTGCGCTATAGTGGGCTATGTGGTTGTTCTGGGAAGGTGGGGTGTGGAATGTTCTAGATGTGTGATGTTTATGGTGTGGACTGGTGGACACAAAGTGTAAGAGAACAGAGTGATGTTTGGCCTGGATGGGTCTCAGACAAAGTCATGGCTTTGTTTCAGGCTGGTCTGAAAGGGCTTCATGGAGGAGGAGGGCCATGGGGTGCTCCTCCCTGTCATGACTTCTCATCCCAGCCACAGCCTCACTCTGGGGCAGGGCTCCCAAGACCCTCTTTGGCCCATCCCCCAGTGGTGCCAGTGTGGGTCCCCCCCCAACCTGTGATAGCCAATATCGCGCCGCCCCTGGCCCGCCGGGGACCTCTCCCTTTCCACCAGTCATCTGACCCTCCCTTCTCTTCCAGGCGCCTACCTTGTATGCATCTCTTCCACCAACTATGTGTGGACCAGTGGCTCGCCATGAGCAAGAAATGTCCCATCTGCCGAGTGGACATTGAGACACAACTGGGAGCCGACAGCTGAGGGAGGAATTAGCCTGTGGATGCCCCATTTTCCTTCACCAGGTCCCCCCACGGCCATAGCCCTTGCAGCCAAACTTTGCCTTCTGAGCCATTTGATGTAGAGGAGAAGCCTGCAAGCACATTTTGTGGAAAGAGGAGTTGGCGGTATCAGTGTCTGAGGGAAAGGAGGGGTGGGGGGAGGACCCCCCATCCAGAATGGTGACTGCCCCCATCCACCTCGCTGCGCAGGAGGGAGCTGGCCGTGCCCGGAGCGGGGGTGGGAAGGGGGGGCCCACGCTGCTGAGAATCTCGATGTGAACTGGAAGGTCCTAGCTGATAGACAGGCCCCTCAATCCTGTCCTTTGAAGGATTGTATATATACCTCTCGACCACGTAGAAACCACGTAGGGGTCTCTAGCTATTTCTGTGGATGGCAGCCGGAGCATGTTAGCTTAAGAAAAATGTTGTGTGTGGTGCTCTAGTCATCTTGTGGTGGACATGTCGCTATTACGAATTCGCACCAAATATTTCTCATTGAGTTCCTTGTTTTGGTGCCTGACCGAACCAACCAACAACAGCCCAGATCTTCCCGTCTTTATGAGAAAAAAAGGAAAAAGGAATCAAAGGTGGGGGAAAAAAAAAAAGCCAAATCCTGTTTCTGGTGAAAAAGGATGATTTTTTTTTTTTCCCCACCCAGGTTGGGAGGCGGGAGGGGGGTTCTTGTTTTGTTTTCGGTTTTGTTTTTTCCTTTGCTTTTGTTTTTCTCATGTTTACAGTGCATGGAGTGTGGAAGGGGAGCATCTGGGGAAGGGGAGGACTGGAAAAGGAGCAGATGGGGGGCTTAGGCGGGCCCCCAAGGGGCTCAGCCAGGGTGAGGAAGGCAGAGTTTGAGTAGGAGAAGGGGAGATTCTGTCTGGAAGGAGGGCTCCCCAGTTCCAGGGCCCATCTACTCAGTTCCAGCCATGTCCCCGGTTCCACATGGAACTAGGGAGGGGCCAGCCTTCAGCTAGAGGTTCCCCCATGTTCCTTGGAGCCAGGGTGTCCCTGTTCATGCCACCTTCTTCCTTTCGGCTGTGCTTAAGCCCTGTCACAAAGAGGCAATTTTGGCCACTGCCTCCCTATGCAAAAAATTAACTGGATGATGAAGATATGTTAGCATAGGTGGTAGACACTTGGCCTTGGCCAAAGTGCTCTCAGCTGGCACTCAGGGGCCGAGGTCAAACACCGTGGACCTGGAGGAGGGCCTTCAGCTTCTTTTGGGGTGTCTCAGATCCCGATGGAGTCCGTCAGAGATGGCCCCGGTCCTGAGATTGTGTTGGCTGGGTTTGGGAGGCCCTGGGTCCCTAGTCTCTGGCTCTTTCTCTAACTCTTTGACAACCCTGGGCAAATCCCGCTCTTTCTCTGTGCCTCATTTTCCTTCTCCTTAGAGGGGAGACAAACGACAGTGCATCCCCATTGCCCCCTCTTCTACCTCACCCAGACATTGTGAGGACTGACACTCTCCACGCAACAAATTCATGCTCCATCCTGAGAACCTCCTTGGGGTTTAGGGACAGGGGGTGGTGGAGAGACTGACCTGGAAGTTCCAAGTGACACCACACAATGTGTCTTTCTGCACGACCCTGTAATTTTTCTTGAACCTCAAAGGGAGCAGAGAGATGGGGGAACAGAAGGAAGGAGATGGGAAGATCCACCAAATTCCAACCCCAACCCAGTTTTCTTCACCCACAGGTGGAAAACCCCAGCCCAGCTGGAATTCTGCTCCCTTCCTTTGCCTCTCCGCCTCCCTTATTTGCACTGCCCTCAAAGCCTCCCCGCTCCCCTTACACCCTCAATGCCCTCATATCAGTAAAATAAGACTAAGGAGGACAGGATACTTATCCCATACATGAAGAAATTCTGTAAGGTTAAGGAAATCTGAGTCTGCATCGCTCCTACCAAGGGTACATCCAGCACCAACGGGGAAAAATGACCGAGAGGCAGATTTGGGCTTGAGGTAGAACCTTCTAGCACAACCAGAGCTGTCAGGCGGAGGCATGGCTCTTCTGGACACCTGCAGGCACAGAATGGGGGATGTGGCTGGCTTCTGGTGGGAGGGTTACTCAAGGATCTTACTCAGACTGAGGCTTCTTCCAGCACCCATACTTGTTCTATAAAATCTTTACTGAGTGCCTGTTCAGTGCGGGGAAAGAGGACAACATCCCTGCCTTGAGGAGCTTAAAGCTGAGGAGCCAAGACGCATATAATAGCACAAACATGGTGACTAGCTGACGCAGGGTTAACAGCAATGAGCATTACCTTGTCCAGTTCCATGGTTCCAGTGTGTGAACCGTGTCTCCAGGGCTAAAGGCTGGAGAACCCACCGGTGTAGAAGGTGCTTCCGAGTCAGGATTTCGGGGAGAGCTAGTTACCAGTAGCCACAGGGAGTGGGGAATTCTCCCCAGCCTGCTGTGACCTGGGGGTAGCCAGGGTGGTCTAGGGAAGGTCACTCCCCTCTCCGTCTGGGGCTCTTGTGTTCTCTGAGGCTGGTTCAAAAGGCTAGCAAGTAGAGGGAGTCGGTGTGGAGGCAGATGGTGCGAGAGCTGGGGTGTGGGTTCTAGTCTTGGTTCTTCAGTGACAAAGCATGCCACGCTGGTGGGTCTCAGTTTCCCCAGCTGTAAGGCAAGGAGGTTGGATTGGATGCTTGCTAAATTTCCTTCCAGCACTCACATTCTCTGATCCTCCCTGACATCAACACATCTTTCGAGTGGTAGGACCGAGTGCCTACCGAGCTGTTGAAAACAACTTCCTGTGGGCACCAACGTCTGTCTCAGAGGCTGAGAGTGGGACGCACGCAGTCCCCTCCTCCTCCTCCCTGTACTGGGCGGGCTCTGAGTGCCCCAGGCTAACATTAGGCACTGACTGGGGTGGGGATGGCCCCAGAGGGGAGAGGTCAGCCACCAACTTTGGGGGGTGGATCCTGAAGCCCACCTCCGCTCCCTATCTCCCTGGGCCCTTGTACCCTGTAGGTGGGCATAGGAGGGGACGTGGACTCAGGCCCCTGCCAGCTCCAGGCTCCTTAGCCGGACAGCTCTCTGGGTGAGAACATGGGGGAGGGGTCTGCGCTTCTGCGCCCTCGAAGCCCCCTCTCCCTTGTCGGGGAGCCCTGGGAAGATGACGAAGAGGCAGGCTCCAGGCCTCAGCATCTTGTACCCACCACCTCCAGGAGGGGACACCCCCGGTAGTCCTCCTACTGCTCAACTCAAGGGACTCAGACCCTTTCCTGACTGAGACGCATGAGTGCCTTCTGGGGCAGAGCCACCCCAGGATTCAAGGTGGGCCTCCCAGCCGCAGCGCAGCCTGGGCCAAAGCGGGTCGCCAAGGACGCCAATCCACGAAACCAACCAACGCCACAGGCGGCTGGCTCGGGGCAGAGGCCCAGGCGCGGGGCTCCGCCACCTGCCGGGACCCCTGGGGCCCTGGGGCCCCCCCGGCCCAGCAGCTGTGGCAGGACTCAAGCTCCTCTTCTGCAAATGCTCCCAGCCTCCCTGCAAGTATTCTCAACTCTTTACGCCTAATGAACAAGCACAGTTTTTTCAATGGTGAAGACAAAGCACCAGATCTTTTTTTTTTCCTGAAGAAATCCCCCAAGCCCCCCGCCGCCTGCTGGCGGGGCCAACACTCCCCGCGTGGGGCTGTAGCAACGTCTGTCAGGTCCCCCTGTCGTGTTTCATCTCCTGCGCGTAGAGCAAATGCTAGAGCGATTTCAGCTGATAGAAAAACAAAAATGAAAAAAAAAAACACAAAAAACAAAAAAACATGGCACGTTGCTAGTTTACAGGGTTTTGTGAGTTTAAATGCCTTATATTTAACAATCATAATTTATGACTAACTTGTAGATATCGTGGGTTCTTATTTAATTATTTTTATAGTTGTTTTGCATTTTTAATTATAATTTATTTATTTAGAAAGGATACTAATTTTTTTTATTACTCCTATTACCTCATTTTGGCGTTGTTTCTGGGAGTGGAATGCTTTGCATGCATTGGTACGATGACAAACAACTATGAATACAAAAAAAAAAAAAATTTAAATAAAATTCCGCGAACTTTATTTCGTCCAAACTATCAGGGTGTGTGATTGCAAGCTGTCCTACTGTGGTGCTGGCCTCTTTGGATACATTCCATACGAAATGCAAACCTTTGATTCTGTATGCTGTGACCTAGTGAAAAACTCCAATATAGTGACTGTATTTATAGCACATATATAAATATAATTTGCACTCGTCAGCAGACTGGGCTAATCCTTTCACTTGCTACCCTGGCCCCCTCCCCAAATCCCCATCATTAACCGCTTTTTCTTTCTTCCCTTACCCTTCCCACAACCTCAGCCCACCCCGCCTTCATCCTCCCAGCCTGGTCCAGGGGCACTAGGGGTCACTCTCTCCACTTGGGCTCCAGATCTCTCTGGTTCCGGAACTGGGCCCCTCAGACATTACCGGCAGGAGCATCTGAAAGCCAAAAAGCCTGATTTATTAGAAAGAGCCTTGGACTGGGGGGTCAGGAGGCTCAGGTTCTCAGACCAGCTCTATTGCAAACTTCCCTGTAAACTTGAGCAAGTCATTTGGCCTCCTTGAGTCTGGCTGAGGGGGGCGAAGGGGAGGGTGTCTAGGGTCCCTCAGACCCTGAGAGACAATGACACAGAAGGGGGGTGGGACACCAGGCTGTGCTGTCTCACCCTCTCAGGAGAGAAGGAAGGGGAAGAGAAAGGATGGAGGGACGGCGAGAAGGAGGGCATCCTGCGGGAGACAGGGAGGCGGGATAGGCGGACACATCCTGGACACAGGACATGTGCTTTCACAAGCCTTGGTGGGCCTTTGCAGAGCCAGCTGAAATCCCCGTGTCGTTGTTAGTTGTGGGGATGGGGTAGGCGGAATATGAGCCCCAAAGTGTGATGTTTGGGGTTGCCACTCCAACCTGTCCTCTCTTGGAGGCTGTGTTGCTCAGCAGAGCCCTGGGACACAGATTCGGGACTCTCGGTCTCTCCTCCCACGGTCTTCTCCTCCTTGGCCCTCTGTCTTTGCTCCGTGGAGGCTGTGGGCGGGGGGGGGGGGGGGGCTGCTGTGGAGGATGGGGCAGGGCCCCCCTGTCTCACTGCTCCTGGGAAGGAATGCTGGGGGAGGGTGTGGGGAAGCAGTGGCCCCAAAGGCTGGCAATGCCCTGAGCCCAGATGTCTTTGAGCCAAAAAAGAGAGAGAGGAGGTCCATGCCCCCAGGAGAGGCCTCTGGGCCCGCTGTGACCCTGGCCAGGAGAAGGAGGACCACTCCTGTGCTCTCTGCATGTTTGCCTCCTCCCTTCTGTCCTCCTTCCCTTCCTTTCCTGCTCATCCTTCCCTCTTGCCTCTTGACATCACTGCCTTTGCCTGGTGGAGACGTCCATCCTCCACATGAGGCCCCTGGGATGGTGCTGATGGGGGAGGAGGCGGAGGCCCAGACTCGCCATGCGGCCGGCCCCGGGCTTGCAGGAAGTGGCCGGGCCTTGTAGGGTCCCTACGCCCCAACTTTGCTCCAGCCGGACTATGGGTCCCGTTCCCTGGGCTTCCTGCCTGCTGTCTGCCCAGCTTCCCTTTCTGCCTCTGCCCTGGAGCCTCG